GTTAGTGTTGCATTAAATTAGCCACATTGTTTTCTATATACAGTACAAAAAAATATCAAATTCATTATTATTAATATATATTTTTTAAATATATATTATTATATATTTTTACATTATTACTATAGTATATACACGAATAGCTCTGAGTTGAATTTGAATGAAAAATACATTTTGAAAACAGCAACAGATGGCAATCAGAGATAACACCATTTGATGTTTTTTTTTGTTGTTATTGGCTTTTAGGCTCACAGGTGTTATCTCAGTATGCACTTCCTGAAAACAAGTCACATATATCACACCCTGACACACCAGACACAGGCATATAAATAACTCAAAATAGGATTGCTTGGCATTCAACCATAACCATATGTCTATAACTTAAACTATAACCATATTTCCATTTGTTTGTTTTTTTTCAACTGACAATTATGTAATTTCTACAATTATGTATATATAAACATACACACACACACACACACACAAAGAAAAAAAACAGCTCATGCCACTCACGTTTGCTCAGCATACCTGAGAAAGGTGTCAGATAACAGCGGAAGTGTCTGACTGGATGAGACACTAAAGAACATACTCTATGAGCAACCCTTCCATTTAACTCAGTAGTGTCTTCATGCTTAAAACTACTGAAATTGTTTGCATATCTGAAAGATGTTTAGTCCTCTTTTTATCATCTAAATGCCTGTTAGAAGACAGATAGAAGACTTCTCATTGGGCTTGTGCAACCCTTAACAGACACTGGTTAAACAGGATTCTCAGTCATTCACAGTGGTGAAGAAACGCAGATTCAAGAACTCTACACTCTGTCTGTGGATCCAGAATCATAAACATCAGCTCTGACCACTGTGAGTATTTCTTTAATACATCTTTATATAGTTTACTTACAAATTGTAATCCGTTACTGATTCCTAATTACATGACAAAAATTGTAGTTAGTAACGTAATCCATTACATTACACATTTTAGGTAATTTAATCAGACTACTTTTCGATTACTTTTGACCTAACTGGTTTATCACATTGATTTAAATAGGACAATCTTGTACCATATTGACAAATACAAAGAGTAAGAAAATATATTGCATTTGTTGTTAATAATGACATGAAGTGCCATACACATTATATTACATCAAGGTTTCCCAAACGGGGGTTTGTGAGTTTAATGAAAAGCGAATAATGAATTAAATCATAATTTTTTTTTACATTAAAATAAATCATTTTAAAATCAAGCAAAATAAAAAACTGAGAAAATTAAATATTTTTTGTTTACCTGCATGTCATGTGACCAACATCAGAGAACCAATTAACATGCAAATGTGTTACTTAATTATTAAAATATTTATTTTAAAATCTCAGGTTTACTTCAAGTAAACGTATTAGGTGAAGGAGGTTCAGATGACAAAAAAGTTTGTGAATTTGTGCATTTTAATGTGTTTCTAAGACAAAAGCCTTCCAAAGACATAGAAATACATAATAATAGTGATAATTCTAATAAAAATTAATGTGTTCATCAGTAGCTGATGCAATGTTGAAACACTTCTTAAACCTGAAATGATTTTTGTAAATCCAGTGGTCTGGTCAAATGCTGTGTAGCCACCTGATCTCTGTGTGTAATCATAGATAGATAGATAGACTGATTAAGTAAGGAGTTGAGTCTCAAATACTGTGGTCAAATATTTCATTCCTTAGGTTCTTTTCTATAAAACAGAGCGATGACTTCAGAAGAGAACCAATGCGCTGAAACAGAGAAAGAAACATTTGAACTGGACTCGTCACTGGGCTGTGAGTTACTGATTCATTATATCAAGTCTGAATCAATTCATTAAAATCAAATCATTATAAAAATCTGGGGCCTCATTTATCAACAGTGCGTAGAAAGGGTTCTATATTTTGTCCTTATATTTACACACATTCCTACATATAAGTACAAGTTGGTAGATCACACACTTTGCGTGAAACTGTGCTTACGCACTCATTACGCACTGTTGATAAATGAGGGCCCTGGTCTTTTATAGAAAGACTTTAATGTAAAATTCAGTGTCTTCAATATCATCCATAGCTGAGATTGATGAACTATATGAAAATGTAAGAGCAAATTCAAAATCACCAACTTTGCAAGGTAAGCTAAATAAATTGTGAGATTTATATGAATTAAATGTATTGTCATTTTTCTTCTTCTTCTTATTAGTAGTAGTATATATTATTATTAATAAATCAATTAATTATCTGGCTTTATCTGGTTTAGATATTCAAGACTTAAAAGAAAATTCAAAATCACCCTCCTTGAATGGTAAGTGTGATATTAATTACAAACTGTTTTTGGGCATAAGAACATAAGGACAACTTTTTGGGCATAAGAACATTGCTGACACAACAAAGCTCAAAACAGAATTCATGTTCTCTCTTAGTATATTGATATATTAAGTGCTTACTACTTAACCAGTAAGTTATGCAGTTTCCAGCCCTTTAACATTTATGTTGTTTGACATTCAGATTCAATGTTTTACTTGAGCTATTTAAAACAAGTACAATCATAGGTGCTGATTTATGCTTCTGCCGGTGGGTGCCCAACCTCTGTAACACCCCCCCCCCCTTTTTTATTGAAAGCGCAAATATTAAACCAAATATGGTTGAGCAAATGATATGGGCTTATCACTCAGCTGCGTTTACATGGACCCTAATAATCCGATTGTAATAGGACTAGAAGCACAATCAGAATAAAATAAGTCACATGTAACCACGTCAATCGGATTGAATTGGCCAGATCCGAATAAAACTTCAATGGGATTGTAAAGGGTGCTTATTCCTGTAATCCGAGTGAGAGGACATGTAAACACTTGATCGGATTGAAACCCGAAACTGGAAAGTACTGCGCATGTGCAGTGACGTAAAAATAGCGTAATGATGTATGACACACAGAACGAGCTGTTCTTCCTGGTGAATAAAGTGTCGTAAATGAGTGTCCCGTCATTCTAAAATTCTGCTTTCAATTACCGTCTGTGAAGTGGAGCAGGACAACGTCCCACCAGTCCGTGTTTAAGACTCTCATCAACAGATGACTGGTTTTGGGTGCAGGAAAAGGGGCACTTTATAAAGCAGTAAAAGTAAGCAGCACAGCACAACAGTTCATGTGCTGGTCGTCGCCTAATTAGGACCCGAAGTAGATAAATATCAAGTGTGCTTTCTAAAATAGTATGCGACATATTCATGCAGTGTGCTCTGTGCGCATGTCAAAAGATTCAATCTGATCAGAAGCTTGTGACATATAAATGCGCACATGTAAACACTACGTTCAGATTCGTCAATCAGAATGAATTCATTCCGATGGAAGCAAAAAGTGTCAATAACTAGGCCTTGAAACTTAGAACTTGGTGTTCGTTTTCCAGTCTTTTTCTTTCCAGCGATGGTGCACTTGATGAAGAATTCAGTTCGCGAACAGAAACACTGCAAAATACATTACCAAGAGTCAAGTAAGTTAGTCAGACATTCGATAGTAATAAATACTGATGTTAACATACAGGGAAAATGTGTAACGGATGCCTCGCAGACGCAAAGAGACCGCTCATCTTCATCACAAGCCCCGAATGAGAAACTGAACTCGCCCTGAGACGAGCCCTCAAACTCATCCGGAAGCTCAACCAGAGGACACGAAGTGTGAGAAACTTTTGTTTCATCATGCGCTTCCCCGGCGCACATTGCTGTGGCCTCTTACCCGGAAGTAGGAGAGCATCAAAATTTGGGAAGCAGCAGAGATTTGCCTTGTCCAAATACCCACACTTGCAGTCTTTGCACTTGATCACTTGACTACTTCTATGACGTATTTCCTGTATTTGGCCCAAGTGTTCAAGTGAGGATGAAGACCCCAAGTGTGTATACAACTTTTCATTACCTGATGGGACACACTTATAGTGTAGTAAAAACGCAAGTGTTTACAGTTTTAATTTTTATTTTCAATACTTTGCATTTTAAAATAAACTTTTAAATGTCTGTTCAGCAGTCCCTATAACAGATGACACAATTTAATTTCTCACGCTTCTAATTAAGTGATAAAAAGCAGTTGCAAATGATGTAGAAAATAAATATAGGCTACTCACCTTTGCACCAATAAAACGTGAAGCACTTTGTTTTACTACCAAAATATATGTAATATCTAATTATTATTCATATTTAACTTACATTGGAAAGGTTTCCGTGACCTCTCGCGATCTTGGCAAAAAGTCTCACGATTTATTTCCAGAACATGATGCATGATGGGATACACTAAGCCTCCAATAGCAAGATCGTGTGGATTTAGTGTGCGTTAAGGGCACTGCACTTTGGCGTTTTTAAGAACTGGGACAGTCGTGCGCACTTACTTCCTGTCACGCGTACGCGCTCTCAAGTGGCCAAGACCGCAAATGTGGGTATTTGGACAAGGCAATTGTCTTACTTTAGGGAGTTGAGAGGGTCTGTATTACTTACTATTGAGCGTAACGGTCAACTCGGATCACGTGTGCCTTAATAACCAATCACATTACAGCCTTGAAGTCAATGAATTTCAGTCAGAGTTGTGCGACACTCAATCGCCATTTACTGATACTATAGGAATAAATGAGAAGTGGCGTAAGTTGAATCCCACCTGTCGCAAAAAATCAGTGACTTTTCTTATAAAACGGCCTTTTTTCGGTGTAAACTCTAAAAATAGTTAAATCCAAAAGTATTGTTTAGTGTAAAACATGTTGAAGATTAGCCGATAGGCTCTCGATTCATTAAATGATAAGCTGTTTCCTCTAAAAAGCTGTTTATTCAGCGTAGTGAAGCCTCTCCTCCACTGACATCCATAAAAAAAACAGCCTCTGATCTTCTTTCCCACGTACTGACAAACCGGAAGCATTATCATTAGCGTTACGCTTTTTTGGCTAAAGGTTGCAGGCTTGCCTTCTAGTGACTTTGGAAGCAGTTCGGGGTGACCGGCGGTCTTTTAGAAAAGAACACAAGCCGCGAGTGCAACGTGCCTATGGCCATGTCCTCGCAAGCGGAACATGAACCATCCACGAGGGCTACTTCAACGTGAGCATGGCCCAAACACTGAACGCAGTGATCGTGCCAGACAGTCGCTGGGAGAGATGTAGAAACCGCATCCAGAAGGGCACAGATGGAAACACATTATAGAGAATAGAGAATATCTCGAGTTTTTCCCATGGGTGCTCAGGGGCTCGGGCCTATGAGTACAATAATACATATATTTGGGTGCAGAGATAATGTTTGACATTGAATGAAATCAGTAGGAAACAATGTGAACTACACAAGTCTGAACAATGAGGATTTCAGTCAGTTTTCTGGAGAAAGACCTGTCAATCATTAAAGGGGTCATATGATGTGATTTCCATTTTTCCTTTCTCTTTGGAGTGTTACAAGCTCTTGGTGCATAAAGAAGATCTGTAAAGTTGCAAAGACTAAAGTCTCAAATCCAAAGAGATATTCTTTATAAAAGTTAAGAGTCAACCACGCCTACCTAAAACGGCTCGTTCTAACACGCCCCCACATATCTATGTCACTATGTGGGAAGATTTGCTTAACGCCGCCCAAATGTTCACGCAAAGAAAAAAGGCGTAACTTTTATTCTCGCTGTAGTATTGTTGTTGCCGCCGCCATGTCATGAAGGCACTGTGTGTTTCGTCGTGAAAGCGAAACTACTTTGTTTGGTCTTCCAAAAGAGGACGATATCTGCTTTGTCATGCCTAGAGCTGATCCGTGCTGGTTGCTGAGGAAATACTACAACTTTGCGCTGTTGATCGCCGGATCGGCTTTCACGAAGCGGAGTCCAGCCCGGGGTCGTCACATGTGGTTGCCGCAAGCCCGCCGAACGCTCCTTCGTCGAATCCACCGGCCACGCCGTTCTCAAGCCCTCCGGCCGCCGCTCACTCTAGCCCGCTGTGTGTGAAGCTGTGTTTCGTTGTGAAACCGAAACTACTTTGTTTGGCCTTCCAAAAGAGGACACGACTAGAAATCAGTGGTTAAGTTGTATTTACAAAACTGTTCCAGAACAGTTCAAACCAAATATTCAATATGTGTGCAATGCATTTTATGGAGGACTGTTTACTGATCCTGGTAGAGTAGACTACAATGCCGGCTGTTCTGACTCACAGACTGTTTTTTGAACCTTAAACCACATAAACACATTTCACTACACCAAATACACAAAATAATGTTATTTTTAGCAACATCATATGACCCCTTTAAATCATATAACCTTGTGTTGTTTTTAAAACTGTATCTTATGACTTCCATAGTATGGACAAAAAATACTATGGAAGTCAAAGGAACACAGAACTGTTTGGTTACCAACATTCTTTAAAAAAATTTCATTTGTGTTTCTCAGACATACAGGTTTGGAACCGCATGTGGGCCAGAAAATGATGACAGAATTTTCATTTTGGGGTGAAACGCCCGTTTAAATGAATATTTATGCCATTCCAACCTGTATGACTTTCTCCCATGGAACACACACAAAAAAAATGTTATAAAAAATATATATATACACATATATTTCAACATACTGTACTGTGCATGATCTTTTTCCAGCTGAGGCAGAGGAAGTACGCATCATGTTACTGGGTGCTAGAGGGTCTGGAAAAAGTTCATCTGGAAACACCATCCTCAGATGTAACGCCTTCAACACGGACATGCAGCTGAGCAGAGTCACACAGTTCTGTGAAAGAGCTTCTGGAAGCATCAACGACCGACCCGTGGCCATAATCGACACGCCAGGACTGAATAAGATCAATCGAATGGAGAAGGAGGTGATCAGGGACATCATGAAATCTATCTCGCTCTATAAGCCAGGACCACACGTGTTTCTGCTGGTTCAGCCGGTGGGAAACTTAACCAATGAGGACAAGAACATACATAAATTAATCCAGAACATGTTCGGGAAGAACGTTTGGAACTACACAGTTGTTCTGTTCACACATGGAGATCGACTAGAGGGGAAAATGCCAAATGATGTGATCGCCAGCTCAGACAAAGACCTTAGAGACTTTATCCGCACATGCAGTGGAGGATTTGTGTTCTTCAATAACAAGAACATGGGAAACTTTGAGCAAGTGACCAAACTTCTGGAGAAGATTGATGCCTTGGTGGCCATCAATGGCAGAAGCTGCTACAAAACGTCATTTTACCCGAGCTCAGAGAGAAAGATACGTGAAAAACAAGAGAAGATTCTGGAGGAGAGACAGGAAGAGATTGCACGAAAGGAGAGAGAGCTGGAGGAGAATTATGAAGATAGGGAGGAGTTAGAGTGGAAAAAGCGTGAGCTCTGGAGAGAGGAAGAGGAAGATGCACGGAGACTAGCCGAGAATCCACCAAGACGCAAATCTCTAGCAATAAATCTCCCCAGAGCCCCCTCATCTATAACAAAATCACAGATCATTCACTAATCAAACCATTTTATGAGCAGTTCAGGACCTTTCTCATGAATAATGGAGATGTAATATTCCCTGTAGGTGATGATCTATACATTTTGCACTGTTCAGGTTTTACTTTGTGCCTGTTTATTATTGTTGTGCTGTTTTAATTAAGTGCATTATTAATTGTGTACGTAGGTAATAATTCTTTCTTGTCACTGAATAACCGACTGCATATAAAATGTAAACATTTAACTTACCACAGAAGTTTAATTAAACTGAAAATACCACTATGTTCCCATGATACTATTATACTATGGTATTGGGGGTCAATATAACCTCTTTGGAACCTTTGGGTTAAAAAACATGGTTCCCTTCATCTCAGTGGCATAAGATTTTGTGACTTTTTCTACATTATCTACACACACACACACACACACACACAAACTGGGCTTGATTTGGATGTTGTGAAGGTATGTAAAAAAAATGTCACACTCATGACCCCACATTGAAAATGCGATAGAATACAATTTCTCAAATAAAATAAGTAAATCTGGCATAAATCTGAACATTTCCACACAGAAATGAAGGCCTGGTACTAGAGCACAAATGCAATGTAGAATGGACATGCTCACTTACACACTCACACACACACACACACACATATACAGGTGTGGCTGCAGCAGAGAATTTTCATAGAATTTAGCAGAACACAGAACACATGTGAGTGAGACCTAATGCACGCACATGCACACACACATTATTATTATTATTTATTTACATTTCATTCATTAAAATAAATAATATGCAACTACAGACTGACTCTAAGCCTTAGAGTTTTAGATGTGTCTTACATTTCTGTGCCATTTTGTAAAAACAGACTCTTCAAAACATCAAAAACTACAAAAAAGACAAACATTTGAAATATTAAATTTTTTGAATGAATATGTATTTTATAATCTTTATATATGCTGCGTTAATTGTATGAAATATTTTAATATTTCCCCGCTCAGCCTAGTGGGTGGTCTTCTTTTCTTTTTCTTTTTTTACCTCCAAGCTCGAGTTCTCTGCCAGTGACCTGGGAGCTTAAGGGTTCTGCACAGTAATATATGTGTGTATATATATATATATATATATACACACATATATAGAAGTAAGAAAAATACTTCATATCTCCCAAATCACAGCATAAAGCTATAGATGAGAACAAAAACATTTATATATAATATGTATAAAAATTTTTTTTTTTTTTTTTACAATCACTCAGTAAATGTTTGGGGTCATATTGACCCCCAAACACCATGAGTGTAAACAGGAAATGAGGAGAATTTAATTATGAAACAGTTCAACTGTCATTCACCTCTAATGCTATAAAAATATGAATACTGCTGTAATCTGTTTGCTGCAATTCTGTTACTGACCTTCTTCACTCTCATTGATTCTCACGATTTAATGCTGTCCTCTTCTGGTAATGACTGTAATGACTGGTTATGATAAATGGTCTCGGAGGACTTCAGCATTTTTAGATAATTTCAAAAAGATGATGTATAGTCAGGCAATTATTTTATTAAAAAAAAAAATGACATTAACAATGGTTAAAATGCTCTAAAATATATTGTTAAAAGTTGGTTAGCTAATTAACTAACAATTAAATTAACAAATGAGACCTTATAGTTAACAAATAAGAATTTATTGTAAAGTGTAACCAAAACATTTAATTAAAAAAGGATCTGTGAAATAATTATGTAAAACCATATTACTACAGTACATATTAGCTAATTCTATGTATTTGTCATTCTAACTGATGGAAACTGAAAGAAACAAGATTAGGCTTTCTTATCCTATCCTAAAGATAGGCTGTAAGACAAACTCCTGTTTACTTTTTTACAGTTATTTTAATAAATCGCCATGGTAACACCGTTTGAGATATCCAAAAACCATTCACAATTTTGGTACCTCAGTGTTTTGGCATCATGTTGACAAAATCTGGTGTAAATCATATCACAGCAATTAGAGGAGTATATATAAGAAGAATATATATAGAAGAAGAATTTTAAAGTTTGAAGTGTTGCCATGGCAACAGTATTTAAGATATCAAGAATCCCTTCGCAGTTTTACATCTGCCGTGTTTTGACAAAGTTGAAGTTTGAAGCAAATCAGGTAAAAATGAGAGTCTGCTTAAAAAGCATTTTGAAAATGACACTTCCTGCTGCCAGTTGGTGGCGCTATAACTTTGAATCCTAATAGTCACATCCATGTAATTGGCCTCATACAACGAACAAACTGCTGAAGTTTGATCAAAATCAGCCAATGTATGTCAAAGTTATAACAAGCTTCCTGTTTTTCATTTTTCACCACGGCCAAACCGTTCAAGATATAATAAATCCCTTAGCAATTTTGCATCCTCATTGTCTTGAGATAACGTTAAATGAGTTTGGAGAGAGACTTTCTGCCCGGCCTTGATAGCTGACGATTCCAACATGTGTGCCAATTTTCAAGAGTTTTTGAGCATACCCCTCATAGTCGAAAAAAAAAAGATGAAAAACAATGGTGTGCAAACAAAATTATGAGATAAACCTGAAATTATAATTTCTTACCTTAAAATTGTTTTTGTCCTGTAAATAATTGACTCTTAAGAAACATTTACAATAATAAAAAGTTTAAGAAAAAAAAACATCTTTATTGCAATCATTGAAGTAAACAGCACAGTATTCAGTAATTTCATTGGAATACTAATAATATGATGTTACAGGTAACAGTGTCGGTACAAACTACATCTACATAAAGTAGAAAAAATATATTTTTTGAAATTATTTAACTGGGGAAAAAAACAACACTAAAAACACTCTGGAACATAAAAGGACACTAATGGTACATATAATGTCTGTATAAAATAATTACAAATCTGCCATAATTGTATTTATAATGACATCTCTTCATAAAAAGGCCTTTAGAAAGTGGTGAGAACAATAAAACTTATTGGCAGTAAATTCCAGGCTTTACAGGACACTGTGGTTTCACAGTTTATTTAAAAATTTAAGGCAGCGATTAAACTTACAGGTATTTCTCCAAACTCTCTATAGCTTGTTCTTTTGTGTAGGATCTCCATTCATATGGAATCTTACCACAACCACTGAAAGTTTTCTTATAATACTTTTCCAAATCAGTCTGGAATCGACACACAAACCACTTCCAGTATGGCAGCTCTGAGAGATCAGGCGTGATGGACCAGTTCTCAAACTCTGAACCTGCTGTTCTGTACTCTTTCCATAAAACTGTGTCATCTTTTTGAATATCCGGGAAAAAGTAACTGTCACTTGCCACTGAAGATGTGCAGAATGCCAAGCAGAGATGATTTGTTCCTTTGTAAATCATCCCCCTCATCCCACAGTTACGATGGAAGGGAGCAATATGATCCCCAAGATGGTCTTCCATTGTGTTAACACAGACAACTTTACAGAAGGGACACTGGATCCAGCAGCACTGGCAGAAATGTTCAATCAAAAAGGTATCTGGTGGTTCCCTGAACATTTCCATTTTAATATCAGAGGGTTTTGTTAAGTCTCTGTTCAACTCTGCTATTATGGGATGAAGTTCTCTTTTCACAACCTCCACTAGAAGTTCAAAATCAGTGATGTCCTGACAGCAGTTGCCAGTGAGATGTTCTTTACTGTATTCAAGCTCGTCTTTCAGACAGTCTGAGAAGATCTCCAGCCACATATTGGCATCTCCACTTTTATTCACGACTTTAGCTGTTGCCATTTCAGCAGCTGTGATGACACGTTGCCCCTTTTGCTTGATGTTCCCACTAATCATTGCAAGAGCTGATGAGTTCTGCCCTGTTATATATGATTTCACTTCAGCTTTGATGAAATCTTCAAAGTGGTTCCTTGGGAAATGTATGTACTGAATAAACTTTGGAAAGTCCTCCTCCTCTGCTAGTGCTTTCAGAATGTGTTTCTCCAGGTTGGACCTGTTGCCTTTGAAAGCTGGAATATTTGTCCGCATCTCTCCTGCTAGATCATTTGCAGTCTTGTTGTAGGCACTCTGGAGAATGGGGGTTTTCAGCTCACTACAAATCAAGGCTCCAAATACTGTAACAGATTTTGCACCTTTGCAGAATCCCTGGAACACACTGTAGTATTCTGGTTTCTTTCTCTCTAAATAAATCAAGGGATCATTGGTGTTTCTGAACTCCTGATGGAGCTTGGCAAACCTCTCACCTGCCCACTTACAAGCACTGATTGTCAGGTCAACTGTGAACTCTTTCTTGAATTCATATTGTGCGTTTATGCACTTGTGGTTTTCTACATTCATTTTTACAAGCTTAGCAATTTCTTGAATGTAGCTTTTGTTGTATCCTGTCTTTGCAACTGGTTTTGACCTCACCTGGTTCACAGTTTTATGTAAAATACTGTTCAACAGTTTTTGTATTGACTCTTGTTCTTCTGGTGGAAGGCCACATTTTTTGTTATTCCAGAATTTTCTGATGGGATTTACATATGTGGTAAAATCAGTGATTTGATGTATGTGTTCATATTTATTTAATCTGTCGCACACAAGTGCTTTTTCGTGAATTTCAGATATTATTGTAATTATGTCACTTTCTAAGTTAAGATCATCAAAAGGTTGAACATCCCCTGTCAACTGAGAGACCCACGTTTCCCACACAGAATCAAACTGTGCCTTCAACTCATTCTCATCTCGACCTTGTTGTTTAAGACTTAATGCAAGTTCTTTGCTTTTCTCTAGGAGTTTTCGCTCATGCAGAGTTTTCTCTCCATCCAGTTTGAAGAGAGCTTTCCTTTGATAGATGATGTTCTCTAGTTTTCTTTTTGCGTCCCTTACAAGATCCCAATGCAGGTGCGTGATTTTTTCTTGAAATTTCAATTCCCACTGAATCAACGTATCCCTTTCTTTATGTTCTTCAAAGTAATGTTTCATGGACTTTTTCACCTCTTCATTGGTGTCCGCCATCTCCTTTTCCAAGTCTCTACTCTCAACTTTATTGAGTAGCCTGTTGTTGATTCGGTTGTGCAATTTGTCTTCAATCTCCAGCATGGCACTTCTGAGACTCCAGGTATTCCTGAAGCTGAAAACAAAGTTTTCATTCAGAAGAGCGTTCCAGAGGTCTCCAATACGATCTTTGAACTGTGCCAGTGTCAAACCTTTATATTCTGAGGCACGGGAAAGAATAGTGCTCTTAAGCTCCTGCACATTTTCACTGTAACAAGGATTGGGTGGTGCCATGGGTGGGCTGCCTTCCCAGAGCTGGGCAAAGTACCTCACATCAGTCTTTATATTAAATTCAATGACGTCACTAAAACATTCTGCACCACAGACTTCTTCTTTAGCAGCTAGTTGAGTCATCTCATCTAGTTTCTCCTGCAAGTGTTTTTTCCCTACCATGTTCTTCTCGCCCGCTGTGATGTCTCCAACGTTCTGATGTACAAACATGCAGCTGGGGTTC